TATATGTCCCCCAAGCCCAGTGGGCACTTGAGAGTCAATACGAAATGTCCGCAGACCATGTTGCTATACGAACACCATTGCGTTGGATCCTGCTTGTGCCAGTTGGAGGATAAGACGCACCGAACATTTGCAGCAATGCTATTAACGGAGATTATAGATCGATCTCTCCTGAGAGAACGTACGAGTTGGACTTTACTGAGTCATGTATCTTAGGATGCGGAATGTCTGTCAATGATAAGCGTGCTCTAGAACAGTAAGAGTCGTCCGTGGTTACATGCGGCTCGCTTTACCAACTCAGTTTACCATGGGAAGATGGATGCCCAAATCTACCCAACAACTATCCGGGGGCTTATCGGCTGACGTCCTTGCGCAGAAAACTCACTTGCAACCTAGAATTCCATCAGATGTAAAACGCTGCGGTCGAGGAGTACACCTCAAAAGCAGCTTGCAGAAATCATTTACAAGGAACCGTTTGGTAATAAAAACGGCGATTGGTATGTGCCCTATCACGCAGTAACGCACCTAAATAAACCTTGTAAAGTTCGCGTCGCTTTCGACTGTGCTAACACCTGTCAAGGTAATTCCTTAAATCATAAATTGTTAAAAGGACCGAGCCTGATGAACAGTTTAGTCGACGTTTTGTTGAAGTTCAAAATGGACACCGTGGCAGTGGTTGCATATATTGAAGCTATATTTCACCAGGTAATGGTGACCCCGAAAGATAGAGACCAACTAAGATTTTTATGGTGGCCGAAGGGTCAGTTACACGAATCACAGAAAATGTACCGCATGAAGGGGTGACCATTCGATGCAACGTCATCACCAAGTTGCGTATCATTCGCACTTAGAAGAACACTCGAAGACTCCAAGACCGAGTATTCCGAGTCGACACTGGCACTGATGCAGCGATGTTTTTTTGCGTTGATCATTGCCTGTTCAGCTGTTGTAGCCGGGGAGAAGCTCGCCGTCTTATTACGAATTTTGAAGCAACTGCCTTCCTGGGTGGATTACGATTAAGGAAATGGAAGTGTAATGTCTCCCAACTTCTGCGCGAAATCACGAGGAATCCGGCATCCAACGAATCATTTCTATTAACTCTGCAATCTGAGAACGTACAACTCACTCTGGGAAGGAAGTGGAATTTATCAGATGCTTGCATAACCTTTAGTCTATGAAAGTTCAATGGGAATTGCACGCGAAGTTCGCTTTTCTCATTTGTCATTTCGATGTATGGTACATTACGTGTAGTAGCCCGGTACTGTTGCGTACCAAGCAACCATTGCGATCATTCGTACGAAAAGGACTTACTTGTGATACTCAGGTAGACGGATCAGCAAGAGAAGAATGGTATCGTTTCTTGGGAGACGCCCAGCAAATTGAGCGGTTGAGAATTTCTCGGTGTATCAGAGGAAAGCCATTAACTGACAACGATGTACAGCCGCTTTGTGTCTCAAATGCTTCGGAAGATGGGTACGGAGCGGCCATTTACCTTAGGATCGTCGGCCTAAAATGTCTACTTTGGTCTACCCTCATTATGGAAAAGTCGCGCGTTTCACCGATAAGAGCAGTTTCAATACCACGATTAGAATTAACAGTGGCAGCGCTTACCCTCCGGTTAGCCATTCAAGCGGTTCAATAGTCGCAATTGGAGAGATAACTGAGCTTTTGGACAGACTCGATGGTGGTGCTACTGCTGATTCGTAATACGAATACGAACACGATTCATAGCTTTCGTTTCGAACAGACTATCCGAGGTTCTTCAGTTTTCCACCCCAAAGCATTGGAGTTACGTCGAAACATTGCAAAAGCCTGCGGACATAGCCTCTCGTTTATTACGAGTGAATGATGAAGTCCTGAAAACAAATTTATTTGACGGGCCTGGATTCCTAAATCTCAAAGAAGGCCATTGGTCGGGGGCACCGAAACGTTTGTGCGAAATTCCAAACGAATAGCTGAAGCACGAAAATCTTGTTAACTCTACACCATTAGTCAACACTTGACTAGATATGCTCACAAGTTGCGGTAGCCAGGTCAAGCTAAAACGACATGTGTCTATCTTGCTCAAATTTAAGCGGCATTTAATGAAACGCTGCGGAAAATATCCGAGTTACCCAACCGATGGTCATTTGATGTTGTCCGAACTTCACGAAGAGGAAATGGAATTGGTGCCAAGTGTACGACAACTCTTCTTTGCAGATGAGGTTAAAGTATTGGAAAGGAATTGCTCAAACGTAGCAGTCAGGTGATTTAAAACATTTGAATCTTTCGTTGCAAAGACTGTGTCCATGCTTGCACAACGGTATTCAACGAGTGAGTGGTAAATTGAATTTTTCATCAATACTGTATGACGCTAGACTTCCTATCCTGCCTCCTGTCCAAGATTTCGTGACCAGGCTGATTAATTCAGGTTGTTAGAAAAGAGACGGACATGTCGGTGCACCACACGTTCTTTCCGATTCGAGTCAGCGCTACTGGGTCGTACGCGGTGTTACAGCGATTCGCAAAGCTTTGAATGTTTGCCAACTTTTTAAGTTATGGAATGCTCGGCTCTGCGAACAACAAATGTCCTCTCTCATCGAGTACCGTTGCCTAGCATATAAACCATCCTTTACCTCGGTCGGCGTCAAATATTTCGGACTATTATTGGTGACGAAAAACCAACAACGGGGAAGCGATACGGCAGTCACTTCACTTATCTCTCAGTTAGAGCCGTACATATCGAAATCACGCACGTTCTGGATACAGGCTCCTTCTTGTGCGCGTTTTCATGATCTGTATCGCGACGGAGATAACACTGAGAGTGTATAGTGCGAACGGACAGAGTTTCCGGAGAGCTAAAAGTGAATTAAAAGCTATTATTCGACCTTGGAATCAAGCTCATCTGCACCGGACTTTGAAAGAAAGAAATTCCGAATAGATCTTCAATCCTCCTTATGCGAGTCATCGTGGCGGTATGTGGGAAAGCATTTTTTAAACAAAACGGATGATAACTAATGATATTTGGTAAGCAGCTTGTCAACTACGAAATTCTTCAGAGAGCGGTGGTTGAGGTGGAAAGAATACGTAACCACGGACACTTGATATCCAATCCCGGCCATGCCGACGAATTCGGAAATCTACCACGCAGTCAATTGTTGACTTTAAAATCTGACGGTCCTGGACCACAAGCAGATGCACCTTCCCAACAGACTGCCAAGACGGTTGCGTCATGTGCAGTAGCTGTCCGACGAATTTAGGAAAAGATGATAATATTTGTGTTATTCACCGACCCTACAAGCTCGTCAAAAGTGAAATGCAAATAAGCGTAGCTTAAAGACAGGTGATTTACTTCTAGTTTCCGATGTATGCACTCCAAGAGGTCTGTGGCCAAAGGGCATAACTAAAGAGGCAAGACTGGGTACGACAGACTGGTTCGGGAAGTCCTGGTACGTGCGAACAAGAGTACGTTTCGCAGACGTCCGGTAAGTGTGCTTACTGAAGGAGACTTTAAGGGAGGTGGATGATCCGGACCAAAACGATGCGTAAATTGCCGGGGGAATGTGGATTCCTAATCAGTTCACTGACGTAACTGGTAATGTGCAATCCTGATTCGTTTGTGTGGCTGCTACTATTTATTTACAAGTAGTACATTTTTTCTTTACATTTGTAACCATAATGATCGTACAGATTACTACCAGTGATCAGATTCAAAATCGGAATTTACTGCCCATTTTATCTTCACCTGTTAGTATTTATTAATATTAGTTTTCATTATTTGCTGCCAAAGACGTACAAGGCTCAGACATCCGAACAAGGTTTTAATGCACCACTTAGTACGTCATCGAATGAGCGCGGATCGCCTGAACTGACCATGTGGAGTTACATCTACACCTATGTACGAGACCGTTCACCTATTCGTAACTTATACATGGCTGTTTATTGAATTGCCATTTAGGTAGAACCACTGTTGTTTCAGTGCAACGTATTCTGCCCATTGTCCTATATTCTCACAGCCTAGACCATACGTTGAGATAGGTGTCGTCGGCTCGTCTTTAAACAGACAATGCAGTAACAGTCAGCTCCCTTGGTTCCCCCAGGCTGTGGCCCAACACATAGCTGGCCTCCTTTGGGAATATTAGCTGCTTTTTCTAGACGCAAAATGTCTCCCGAGAGCTTGTTAATCAGGTAATGTGTAGCCCATATACAAGTGAAGAGATTCTTGGAACCCTGCAAAATATAATTTGATCTGCCTGAAATGATAATTTGTAAAATCATGGAAAAAGGTTTTGAGCAAGTCCTACTTCTTTGCAACGAGAACCCGGATATCCTCTTTTGCTTTCGGCATGATTATCTTAAGGTACTTTCTTTTATCGCTAGTTTATTTGTTGTCAGAGAAAAATAGCCGAGATCTGTATACTGGTAAGTCCCTGGAATCCGCTATTATCTGTTTCAGCAAAAGATTTGTCAAAGACCATTAAAAATGGCTCATTCTGGAGCTAAAAATTAGTGGCAACTCTGAGAAAACTCTCGTCTGCATCGCTGACTGTCTAAATTGCCGGAGCATTAAAGTGAAGGGGTGTGATATCAGAACCACACCTGCTTAATGACCAGTGGAGTCTCATAGGGCTCTTTCCTTGACCAGAGCTCCTGAAAATTTTCACCAATAATCATTACTCAGAGCTCCAAACAGATTGCCTGGTATGTTCAGATGATCTAAAGCTGTGACTGAGGATGTCCAATTTTGAAGATACTGATCGGCTAAAAATAACGCCAAGCCCGTTACACTACTGAGTATTAGACTGCTGGCTACCTGTCATCGACGAAAACGCCCTATTCTCCTAAGTACTGTATTCGATCTCTTTAGTCCTCACTACATTGGACGCTTACTACTCAGGAACTCAATCTACGGAAAGGACCCCAGGATAGTTTCTGGTCCACTACTAATTTTTATATGGCCCATGACATAAATAACCAATTTTTAATGTTTTATTTATCAGGAAATCATAGTCTACATAATGAACTCACCCACTGTTTTTGTCATTTTTGCGTTGTTTAGAATACCCAGAAATAAGGACACTTTTGGGTTGTCGCATTCCCTGCGGTGTCACTTCATCGGATTGAGTTTGCGCGCCTTCAGATCCTAACGAGGCTCCACTGTCAGATTGTGATTCTTTTTCCATCACACTTGACCTACTGTGGTTTAATTTATGATGAGCAAGCTTTGAGACCTGAGCTGATGTAGGATGCTTTGAATGCACTCGGTCTAACCGCGTTCCGTCAGTTTCGGAGTTATCGTCCTCAGAGTAACATTTCTCTTCCATGACAACGATTCTTGACATTGTTTTCACGTCCTGGGGTACATTACAGGCAACTTCATCCTTTGCATTGAAAACCACAGAATTCGATCTCATGTATTGTTCTACACAATGGCCCTCATCTGTAGAGGAATCCGTGGCCGGTGGTGGGCTTCGCCGACTAAAACCTCTCCTCCCCCACAGCACATGATGCGTTACGGGTGTAACTGCTTGATCATTTATTGCCTGACGTGCAATTTCAATTCGCTGTGCAAACCTAGTTCTAGGCTGGTAGTCTGTCCTGGACAAGGTTGGTGGTGCAAGTAAGTTGGATTTTGTGGATGGTCTGGGGCTATTGGGTGGATTTAGATAAGACTCATGCCAAGAATATGCAAGTGATTGCTGACCGTTGATTTGAGGAATGCATTCGTCAACATCTGTTTGGGGTGCATTGCACAAGATCCTAAGTTTCAAATTACCGTCTCCAACGCACTGTGAATAGTTTCGGTAATTGTTTTCCAATGCCTGTAACCCATCTATCGGAGGTACTCGTTGGTTCATGAATGATGGTTGTCGTTGAACCTCTGAGTGGGTTCGCGTACTGCAAGGCGCGGCCATTGGGAACACGCTCGACTGCAAGATCTGTAATGTAAAGTAAAGGAGACAGCGATCTAAAAAATTTGTCATATATATTAGGTGGCTAACTGCATTCTTTTACAGATGGCAAATAAGTCCTGTCGTTACAGAGTTGTTAGCAGAAAACTAGTTAGAATAGCTTATGAAGAACGATATTTATTCCTAATCCATTTGAGTAGTTAGGGTGACGAAGTTGCTTACAAAGTGTGATAACAAACGAAAACATGTTAAATAAAGTCGGCATGAGTATAATCAGATGGATTTTAGATGCAATGCTTGCTTCCAAAGATATTCGTCGGGGTTCTCTGTTTTCATGATCCAACATCTAACAAGACCGCCGTATACCAGTTGAAGCAGCATGACACCGAAAAATTTATGTATGATTAGAATAGAATCAGGTGTTGTTCTATGAATCAGTATTTTATGATAAAAGCTAAGAGCAAAAACATCAGCTTGACACATACAAATAAGGATACGTGTGAAGCGCGCAGCGCTCAACTCCTGGTTTTCTGCTTCTGCGACCGCATATTTAGAGAACCATGAAACAGGATTGCTTCAGTAATGTTGGTTAACTTACTAAACCCTTCATCGAGTCAACTCAGATGCATTCCTTAAGGTGTGTCCGGCTTGCGCTCGCTTTCTTACTGCTCTCTTGCTTCGTCTGAACTAACCAACCTGATTGCTTATCATACACATGTATTCCCATATTATTTCGACGCAGCTCGATGATCATGATTTGTAAGGTATGTTTAGCGAAAACTGTGAAGAACCCATTAGTATCTAGCGCATTTTACCAGTTAGGGTTAAATTGAGCAATTCAAGTTGTGTCCTTTTACAATTCTGTGCCTTTTCCGTGGAAACCCAAGCAGCAAGTTTCCAAATCCTAACAATTGGGATCGCGAATGAAAGCCAAATCTAAGGACTTTCTAAGGAAACTATTACCCTACCTGTCGAGAGATAAGGAAATAACCTATGGGACGTTTTAAATTTTAAATTTAATTTTAAGTAATTGTTAATTATTAATGTTATTTTTAAGATTATTGTTTATTTATTGTATTTATTGTATTTATTTTTACTTTACTTTTTATATTAATTTTAAAATTAAATAGCAAAAGCTCGAGGCGCCTTTGGTAACCTTCGCCACTTATGGCTCTGGAGCCATCACTCTCGCCCTGAAGTTTCGCATATAAAATACAGCGCTACGTTCCACCCTACTCTACGGTTGTGGAACCTGGCTTCTTAGATCAACGGACATAAAGATACCAGTTACGCTTGACCTCTGGTGCCTTCGCAATTTAGCTCACATCTGGTGGGAATATCGTGTGAGCAACTAGCGTGTTCGACTCCTTGTTTAAGGTACAAGAAAAAGAAATGAACCGCCCAGCACCGTAATTGCAATCACCAGGCTCCGATGTTTTGGCCACCTGTTACTCATGCCAACCCACCGACTCCCGTGATGTGTGTTGTTTGCGAGCCGGGGGTGTGGATGGAAGAAGAGGAGAGGAGGCCAAACGATGACTTGGACGAGAGGAATGAAGGTCCTCTCTTCGAAGCTGGCCTCAGTTGGAGCGTCTCGGCTCCATGGTTGGGGTCCGAAAGATGATGAACACGTTTGGCTGGATACACTAGCTAATATGGCTAGGATCCGACCTCAGTGGCATTTGTGCTGCCCACCTCACCCCACTTAGTCTCCCTCTCCAACTACGATCTCACTGTTTAGCCTTAACTAACTTTACTGCTTAGTAGCCGGCTTGTAGCTTACGGGAACGATGCCCATCCGTTATCGGTAGCATAACTGGCTTGCACCTGTTTCATATTTCTTTTTTTCCTTTTTTGTATATTGCGGCTTAGTAGCTAAGGCGTTTTCCACCTCCAGCTAACGTATATAATGATGATGGTGACTGACCTAAAAATGCACAGTGAAACTGCTTCACAAAAGCAGGAAGCACGAACGGATGCGGTACAAGCTTAATTAAGACGCTAGAAACGCGTCTAATCCAATTGATCGGTATCAACCCAGCGTTTGCGGTCTTAACCAGGGAAGTGGGGGATGTCACGTATGCACTTAATTATCTTTCATGAAAACAGGCACTCACATGATCGGTTGACAATGACTTGGCCTTACTTTCCTTATTTCATTGGTGTTTCTTACCGGCTTTTCTAGTTACTGTAACGCGGGAAACTTTTTGTAAATCGGTTGCATACTACGCGTGTGCGTTTCGTTTCTTTCATCGGCTAAGGGCCATTTGTAACGTCGAAAGCTAGTGGTTATTTTGTGGCGAACCGCAAAGTTATTCACGGCCTGCTACTGTATTTTGTTGACATAACCGAGTTCACCGATGCAGATATTTGCTGATGTTGCTAAAATATATATTAAGCAATTCCCTCAGCTTCCGACCGTGCCCATTTCAAAGACGATCTTTACCGGATTGACGAATCGGTGGAAGGCAACCAGCTCCCTGTGAAGCTTGCAAAGTTCCAACTTCTGACAATGCCTTGCAGCATCTTCATCACAAATCTGTTGGGACAGCACGTTTTGCAACAGGTATCTGTTGAACGAGGCTTAAGTATCATCACTCACGAAAGTGTTGTCAATTAGATCGGAGTTTCGAACGCAGCGAAAGTGGTGAACTTGAACTTGAGGCTTTTGAGATGAGTTCACGGCACCTTTGAATGACGGATAGTACCACTGTTGATCAACACATATCTTCGTCCCCCAAATTTGAATATGCCGTTTAATCCAGGTGCCCATAGTTAAATCGGAATATTCATCTCTTGGAGCGACGTCAAAGAAGAGCCACCGAAGCAACATGTGGACCATTCTGTCTCTCTTACGAACTGCACATTCCTTCATTCCGTGTTCTCTCCTCAAAATACTGAGGGTTTCGCGGTGATCTCGTTCTCACATACCGGCTACTAACTGAAAGCGCGCACCGATATACCAACCTGCTGCTCCTAGCCTCTTGAGAAAAATGTCGAGGCCGTCATCTTTAACTAGTAACACACCACTCCCGTTTGGATTGTAATAAGTTTTCTTACTCTCAGAGTCTCTTTCGACTGGAATGCACTGCGGACACACGTGGTGAACGCATTAGACATCATGACATTCGAGAGACTTAGACATTCCTCTTAATGCCAAAAGGATCCACAAAATTGTGATACAATATGGTGTCTCGATACTGATGATTAACGTTCCACGTTGGCATGTTTTTGGTTACAATTTTCTTGTGTATTTTCCAGCCCGTGAGTTTTATAAAGTTCGGTTTTTTTATCCTATCGTAAACCATTGAAATATGGAACCAGAGTGGGGGAGGTTGTCGATCATTTTGATGCCTGTTAGAGAATTGTATTTGGTCACAAGCTTTCCTTCATTCTCCTAGGTAAGAAGATATTGCGGCTTTTCCAATAAATTGAGCGGCATTTCAAAAGTTTGGTTAAGAACTCATTAGTCTTTAAACAAATCTTTCAAAATTAAATAGACAAGTGACGGTACCGTGGCTGACCTAATTTAGTGGCTGCATATTTCAGGAATTATAGTATTTTCTTGATAATATGGTAAATGATTCATGCGTTTAAACGTTTTATGTTTAGAGTTGACTAATAATTTGGCTCTGTGTTAACTGTTCGCGTACCAATGTGTTTTTGGGCCATCTACTCATAGGGTATAACAGCAAATGGCGAATTCTATGAAAGCCAGCACAGACAATCACGATTAAAAATATGGTGCGCTCTAGACCCCTGAAGCAAATTATAACTTCATTGCCGTTTCTGGCATCAGTTTTAAATCCCCCGAAAGCAAATGATACGCTGCAATTTATGCACAGAGTATTTCATCTTCACTAACTTCCTCAGTAGGTTATTTGGGACGTGCACACTTTACTCACAAGATGTTAGCTCACGCAGTTCCTTCCCACAAAAATCATAGCACAAACGCTATATAAATCTGTGCGCAGGGACTGACTGAATTCGACGGCTCGCCGATACTCAGTGCGGAGGCTTCGCTCTCGCGCAAGCATCACTGGTCGCATGTCGGCTTAGGGTACTGTGAGGGTCGCCTTGCTCGACCTGGACTGAATATGAATTCGTTTACTGTTGTGTCTAGATATTAGGCTTGGTCTTTAATTTGCCTTGAGCGCCCGCACGACGTAAAACAGCTAGTACTACTTAAGAGGTATTACAGATGAACACGTAGTCTGGTAAATGAGTTTTCTTAGGCACCTAACTGTAAGCTGGACCTATTTGATCACAACGGTTTGGTATTTGGTCAATCATGGGTGTACCATTTAACCCACCTCCAAAACTAGTAGATCCATGTAAAAATCATCTTCAAAGCAATACTTATAAACAGAGGAAAAGCATTGCTTTGAACTGCTTTTTAATATACACAGATATATCAATCCAACAGACTACAGCGTTTTAAGCATTTAATATATCTGATAGTTGAGTTCTCTCATAAATGCACCAGCAATTTGTGACTTCGTGGACTTCGTGTGACTTAAACGGTTGTCGCTTGGACTAGAAGTGGATTTGTGAATGATATGTCTACAAGGATAACGTAGTTGTTTTGCGTGCTTTTGGTTAGGAAGGAATACCATACCATGGGGGGAATTAAACTTACTGCGTCATTCGTTTCCGGCTTGCCAGCTATCATTGACTGCGTACATGCCTGCTGGTTTTTTTCTTGTTCACTCCGCGTCTTTTCTGAACTCACATAAACAGATTTACTTGCGTTTGATAATGACCACTGTATGGGGGGAGTTGAGGTGTCGATGCTAGAAGCATGCATGGATCGAGAAAGGTAGGAAGCGGCAGCAACGGCTGCAACTGCTGCCAGCGCGGAGATTGTGGTCACAGATCGCTTGGAAACTTCAGTTTCACTGCCAATGTTGTGTCCTCTATCTAGTCGGTTCCCGAGACGTGTCACTGGGTATGAATCTGTCCCAGCGTTGAGAGTTGGTAGATACTTTTTATCTAAAGCCACATGGGTATTAATGGGAAATTCGGTTTGACACTCCTGATCAGTCATGCATGTTGTCGGCGAAACCTTTTGATACTTATCAATAGTATCATATGTTTCTCTATTATCGACGCAAAAGTGTTGTGTACTGGCCTTCATGTCACCATTTCCAGCACAGCCATAATCTGAACTCGTCGCTGTTCCAACTTCGGATTGAACAAGTTGGTTCAGGCTCAGTTGAAGGTTTACTTTAGATTTCTGTAGATGCAAAATAGATGATAATGTGGTAAACATAATTTGCTACACACACTAAAAACTAGAGCATATTGTTAATTAGGATTTACTTACATTTTGATGTCGCAAATGGAAATATATCCGGATGCGCTAAGTTTATGCAAGACGTCTCACAACCTCGGGTGTTAAACAGTAGCAAGTGTTTGGTCATTTTCTAGGCAAGCTGGGGTCAACTTGCTTGGATTTTGTTGCTGGCGCACTCAGCGTCTGCGTGAGGACTTTAATCAGGTAGAGTAGAGTCTCACCGAGAAAAGCGATTTTACCCCACCGACCTAATTTGTAGCCAGTTGAATCTGAGTGAAAATTGCGAAACTAGATACTTTCACATAAAGTACTCTTCTATGCTGGTCGGTCATTCATGGAATGTCTTTTCAGATAAACATGTTTTTACTCCCACGATGATTATCTTTGAAAGACGATTGGCTTTTGCACGCAGTTTATTCCAACTTATTACAATGGTAATAAATAAATATCACCAAATCCCTCTACTCATGATTAACGAAAGGTACTTTTGTACTTTTTTAAAATGGTTGTTGATGTCAGGAATACCGGCAGAAAAGTTCTGATGACTAACGGCTAAGCCTAACTCTTTGCGCGAGCTATAATCTGCGTGGCGGTATAGGATCTGCCGGGTTGTATTGCAGTTTGATTACGGTTCTTGATCTTAATATATCGTCCTCCATGAATCAGCGGCGTACGTTGCTGGCTAGAAATGGGAAGTGTAGACATTGAAGGTAAGCGAGGAAATGCACATTCCAACGAGTCCAAAGGAATCCCGCCGGTCGTCTGATACTTATCCGGATTGGTAATTAGTATGTTTTGCTTTATAACCTAATCATGATACAGTAAAGTAAATATTGTCTTCTTGTTCGCAATGAGCAACACCAGTAAGTTATCCGCTACTATCGCAGTCCCAGCAGCCGAACTCGCAGTAAGCCACCTCAACACAAAGAGCGTTCAAATCGATAATTTGCGAGGCAGTCGATTAATAAGTGTGCACCAGCAAGAGGAAATATTGAAAGGCAATCTAATACTTGCTATTCCAAATAACGTTGCTAGAATCGGTTTAAATGAGATTTGGCAACCTTTGACTGGATGAGAATTTTAACGCAGTTAAGCTCCATTAGCAAGTCTAGCCGGTCCTCAGAGGTGACCTGAATACAAATACTATACTAGAAAGCAGTCTAGAGCAAAATACCGGAATTTCTCTTCAAGAAGACTCGGTGCCTCATAAGCATATTACTGAGTGGTATGTGTACGATATGCGTGCGTGAGTCCGTGATGAACATTTGTGTTTGGTGCCTCTTCGGTCTACTTTCGCACAGAATTCAAGTAAATAAGTGGCCTTTACTGTCGAACAGGCAATATCCTTAATATATAAATAATAACGTACACGCATTTTTAACTGCGTACGTATCCTGACTAAGAGCTAGAAGAACTAAAAGTGTTTGAGCAACGGGCAGGCACAATCTGACATTCGGAATATGCTGGGTAGGTCCTCTAAACTAGGACTATCAAAAACTTTTTGGTCAATTAATAAATATACACTAGGGTTATGAAATGTCAAAAATTGTATATGTTAAAAGGCGAGCTTGGACAAGCTTTCTGGAACTCGGTAGGTCACTCCGGTTAGACAGCTAGGTCACAAATGAAAAAAACACCATTATTTTACTGGAATAATTCCCCTGTACTCTACCAAAACATGTTCTCCAAAAATACAAATTAGAGTTACGGGGAACAATTGAATAGATTTATTGGGCAGACCGGCCATAAGAGAAAAGAAACCGAAGATATACTTATGCTACGTTTATTTAATGGATAAAAATTCCAGAAAAAGCCTGAATGCAATACTCTTTTTTATTGACATTGCACATCCTTACTGCCCCCTATGTGATTCGAACGTTATTTTACAAAGGTTTTAGCAGACCTGTACGGCGTATGGCCAGCGCAATCGTTAAACCAACGATAATTAAGCGATGTTACTTCTCCTGACTGAATCAAGTTGGAAGGATGTACCGGAGAATGTTTACAACTTCCTGTCAAAAGGTAGATGTTCACAATCCAGCCGCAATTTTGTGATTCTGTTGAAAATTTGCTGACGACTTACTACAATAGATTTCCAGACAAGTAGGTACTGACAGCTGGAGGAGACGGGTAGTAGTTAGTGAGAAGTGCTTATGGAAGGGAAACCACCATTTCGGTATTCACCCGTTAGTCAGTGAGTTTGGGATGAAAGATGACAGTTTTCACCTCACCCTCTATTCCCAGTCTAAAATAAGCTTAGCTGATCTGTGTCAACAGACGGAATTCAGATATTTGTCGTTTCATCTTTCTCGGATTCATCCGCAAAATGGGTTTCCCTGAAGCAGTGGATCAATTCTTACCAGACAGTGACGGCTACGCCTGAACTACACAACGTGTGAAGGTTGCCAACCTCAACGTAATTGACATAAATGCGGCAAGATCACTAGGTAACATACAGTCTTTATCTAACAAAGCTAGACTTTAACCCAAGCGGAACGACGTGAATCTGGTGTACAATGGCACTGTCATTCAGAGTTATATGTGAGACAAATCACCTTGGATTAAAGTGTTTTCGTCTGCGCTAACAGCCCTTGTGTAACGCATCAACTCAGACACTCTCTGACATTAGAAAATACAATGTTCATATAAAAACCACTGCGGCTAACCACTGATGTTTGGAAAAGTGTATTGTTTAACACCACATTTCATAACAGAGCAGCCATATATTTTGCACTCACTTAAACACGTTAGTGTGTATATCAATGAAGTAGACTAATGTCACCGAAGTTATTGTATATATGCGGATTCATAAAGCAAGGAATCACCCTTTAGAAAGGACATTGCTCCAAAAGGCCAACCAACAACCTGAACTCATCGCAGCACATCTTAGTTCTAAATTACAGCTGAATGTATTATGTACATTGGTAGACATGCGTTCGCTTCGTGATTTTATCCAAGTGCGACTGCTATTACGCACGTGAGAAATAGTGCTCACTGAGAAGTGTTAATTGGGGAAATACGTTCTTCGACGGACTAGATTTGCACAAGCTTAGTACATTACTAACACAGCAATAAAAGCGCTGATATATCCTACAAATCAAGTGCCTGGCCCCAACAAATAGTTGGCTATCTTTCCTACGGCCTCCCTAACACCGACCTAAATTTTACTATTCCTATCGACGCATACCGTGCTGCTAACTGACTGTTGTCCTATGCTTCTTTTTCTACCTTCAAATTACTCAACTTTCCTGCATTCAGCAATCTGGTTCCCCCTCCTATCAGTTTTATTGCACTGAAGATCTTTCGCATTGATCTGCCTACCTCCCCAACAATGAACACAGGCTGGTTTCCTAAATCTCCAGAAATGCTTACCAGGTCACGTGGTACAGACATTTCAATAATGTCATATACCATTCCAGGAATTGCGTCATTTTTGTGGACGCACAGCTCCAAACGGTGAAACATTTTGCTGTACAAATATGCTTTGAAGAGGAACCGTTCACTTGACCTCATAAATTATTTGGTGCTCAATTCATTAGTCACGTGAGCATGGTTATGAGACAACCTAGAACAATTTTCATTCTTTTGATCGCTTACTCAATTAATTTGGTAGGCCTGCGTCTAGTATTGAGATAAAACTGGGCGGAACAAGCAGAAAATTTTGCATATCTCAACCAGACATGATTGCTATAGGTAGTGTGTTAATCACAGTGATTTGTTCGTGCAAAATCAATAGAATCATTTGAAGTACAACGCCTAACTTGGCCTTATAGTGAGGAAACAAATATTTTACCATTAATGCTGCTGATCCTTGTTTTACCAAGTTGAATGCTGTTGTGAGTCAATTTGCTGGGGGCAGAGTTTATGCTTTTCAAAGTGCTAGTGTTGTTTCCATAGACTTAGTTCCAAAATTGATTTAACACTGACTATGTGTCAACAGGAGAGAAAAATCATGGTTGCTTCTTATACATCAAGACATAGACATACCACTAAACATTTCAGACTGATATGGAGAAAAGGCATCGGTTTGCATGAAAAATGTTATGAGACTTACCTGCTTAAGAATTGTCTTAATTTTTCTTCCTACATTTATTCGCCAACGTTACATTTGTTTCTGTGTTTTTAAACTGTTTTCACTGCTACTTCTCTTAGCAAGCTGGTGCGCACTGAGTTCTTAACAAATGTTAGGTATGAGCTCATTTTGTTTAACTTGGGCAATAGTTCAGTATTTCAGGGTGAATAATAATTATAGTGCATTAGGAATTTATGAGATGATCAATCTCTCGATATAAAGAGGTGTGAAAGGTGACCAAACAAATCTGTCTAACAACCATCCAATAATTAGTTCTGTAGAACGTGAAACAAACTGGCTTCTGAAACTCCAAGGTGAGGAGAACATAAACATTATCTTCCAGCAAGGATATTATGTAAAGCGGTGTCCAATAAAATACCGGTTATGAGACAGTAATACGTAGGATATATCGATATGTATGCTAGTATAGTAAGTCAGCATGTGTTTTTAGGAAAAGCACTCAACGAACAAGTCAAAATCATCGCTCCACTGAAATTAGCTTGTTCTTTCAGAGGCAAAAATGTACCTATGGACTTCTGGCGTTGGTCTTTGGAATCAACAGCTAGAGAACAGTCATCATTCGTCCTGGTCTGATTGAGTCCAATATGATACGTGGCAAAAGCCATTGCGTTTCAGTTAGATGATTCCTGTTGTTTACTTCAAAAGCCAAACTCGGGAAGCTGTTTATCGACGGTTTTGTCTTAGTGGAAAGGACACTCCGAAGCTGAGACGCGACATACGCATCCACAGCTTACATGCTTGTTACAAAAGCTAAATAAATGCATTCCCACTTTGGAGGATTTCGGTTTGACTCTCTCCCATTCCTGCACTCCACGACCGACGGTTTCGTCTTTAGCTAAACTCATCATGTAGAGATAGCCGAGCTGGGAGTGGAACTTGGCGCATACTGCTTGGCGACTATCAACAGAATCACTAGGCCATTGAGCTCCGCTAGCAATGTTGGACAGAGCGGTTAGAAGTAGATTTTCGGAGCTCAATGGCCTATTTCTACGGATAGTCGCCAAGCACTATTCGCCGGGTTCCAATCCCTGCTCGGCTATCTCTATCTGATGAGTGGAAAGAAAGATGAAACAGTCGGTCGTGGAGTGAAGGGATAGGAGAGAGCCATACCGAAAACCCTCCACTTCGGTGGCGGTCCCAGTGTCGGTATTGGCTGAGGCTGACCTAAGAGTCAACCGAGACCACGATTTAGATTGCGGATCGCAATCCAAGACACAAGGTAAGTGCTCAAAAACCCGAAAATTTGCATTCCCTCTGTGGTTTGCTTTTTATTTTGTATAATGAACAATGATTTATAACTGTAAAATTGCGAACGCATCTCAGGTTTCATTGGATTATCGGCGTGTGGATTATAGAAGAGTTTAAGATGACAACATCAATGGGAAACATCAGGTTTAAAATGACTCACCGATTATTTACCTGAACACATATGTTGGCCCCATTGCTGCTACGCAGCGGAAAGGAATAGTAAACACATCGTTTGGTTTGTGTTAGTTTGGCTTCTGATGGAAACGGACAATTTCGCGTAATGACGAGGAGCTAAAATATAGTCCAGTCGTTCTTTAAAATGTGCTAATATAGGGCCGAAATTGACGTGAGTTGGAAGAGCGTTCCAAGTTCGGGTTACCCGAAGGGAGAACACATTTTGTCGGCAATCCTGTTGACCGTATTGCGTAGCCAGTTTGAACTGTTGACCTCTCAGTTTGGTACTCTTACAATTATGTACAATTATGTAGTACTCCGCGAAGTTATTTGTGTCTACGAACCGGCTCTGAGTTACATATACGTTTCAAACTTTAACCTTTAAAGATTTACAGATAAATAGCATCAGTTCACAAAGGTTACTCTATTTGTCTAGTGGTTATGCTTTATGAATACTTTTCAAGAATCTTTTTGGTAAGCGCAATCCCCGGATCGACACTGCAAATGGGTTGATGGGCATCAACTGGATCTAAGGCTGGCACTGGGCTCCAGTTCTGAACATGGTTTACTACTATTGGCGTGAGAAAAAATTGCGATACGTTACAAACACACAAACACACGTATTTTTAATGTTAGGAGAAGGTACTTTTGAAGACAATGAGTCGAAACATGGGTATCAAGCTGTAGAACCAACCAAAGTTCATGTGCCTTCTCAAAAGCACAATCTGCGTTCACTACTCATTCCGGATAGCAATGAAGTCTTAGTGACATAGCAGGCATAAAGGAGCATCAAGTTAGCAGACAAAAGCAGCGTTGCACATAGGTAAAGCAAATTCATTATTATATTTATGAAAAAAGGGATCAATAGGGGAAGGTTGCCTAAAATATAATGCTGCAGCTAAGCAACGGTTTATAGCGGCTATACTTCAAACGCTTGACAAGGCATATGGGGTGGATATAATGAGAATACAAGATAAAACTCAGTGTGGGTTAAAAAAGGCATGGTCTACATGACTCGCCCAGCTGTGCGTATTCCTGCCAGGTTTTGGCATTATTTTATCACCGTCTGCTATCTGCTGTGTTTTGGTGCAGTCATCTGACGGTCGCTGTCTAATTCATGTAATATGGATATGCTTGGATATCGTCAAGATATTTCTCGAAAAGAGACAAGGCGCGTCATTTATTACATGTGCAGAGAGGGTATACTAGGGCCGCGATACTTGTAGACAGAGAATGTTTCGCCCACAGTAAACTCAGCTGCACTGTGTAGTCAACTAAAGCTTATGACCCCTCAGAGATGGTGGCATGTACATTTGGTTTCTTAGAATGGGATGCACCGTTATGACATCGCTCCGTAAATGCTGAGAACATCCGCTGCTTTTAGCCTGAGACGGTATAGAAGGTGGTAGAAAAATTAAACGTTATTCGTCGCCTGCAGCATTGAGTGCGGTGAAGTGAAGTTACTGTCAGGGTTGCCACACTTCAATTACGCGCCAAGCATTTTTGTAAAGTCTGTGACCTCGCACATCACGAACGCCCTACACAGGAGACTAAAGTGCCGATTTGCTTGCCTTGATATTTCTTTCAGAGCGTCTAATAATCAAGGCCATCTTGCATGTGTTGTATTCCCGAAGGTAGGGGAACGGCAAAGTTGCACTCCGAATCATTTGTGTACACCGAAATTTAATATTCAGTATTATCACGACGGAAAGTTATCAGCGACTATAAAAACATCAGAGAACAACAGAGCACACACAAACTGACCTGATGAACTGGAAGATATAAATCTACTAGCCTTGTGCTGCAGTTGTGAAATAGATGCTTACTTCTGTCAAATGACTAAATCCAACTATTACTTTATAGACACCAGGTCCTAATGAGGTTAAAAGAAGTTGTGGACAACGTGCTTTCCAAGAACGTTGTTCTCCAGGTAGTCTGAGTGCTAAAGTATGTAGTGGACGATGTCAGACGAATCGCATTGTCTTTTGACCATCATGTAAGTAGGAGTGAGTTTACGCGAAGCAGTCACGTTTAGTTTGTTCAGTAAAACGTAGCTTTAGTTTTCCGCAAAAATATTAAGCTACACAAACTAGTCCCAAGGAGAAAACAAGCGAAATTTTCCGAATAGAATATTTTGCCATTATTAGCAAGTCGATTGATGGCTACGTGATGTAAATTGTCTGGCTGAACAACGCAGCAGTTTACAAATTTTTATCAATAATTGCTATGAATTTAACCCCAGCATATTTTAACAAAACTGTTCTGTTTCATTACTTTCATGCATTGCCGAGTTTGCATTTATTGAAGCGGTTCCACAGGTTTTCATGAAATTCGTGGTGTGAAATTTAGTTACGTTGACTATCAAATACTGTCATAACGCTGACGGGCTTATTTACTATAATCGCAATACCGTTTAAACTCTTGTGATACAGTAACTAGCTAAAAATAACAATTCAGTTGGAAAGCGCGACAATTACTCACCTAGACAATAAGTTTTGAGCCTCAGAAGTTAAAAAAATAACTTCACTACTGTTGTTTGTGATTGGTGGCCACTTTCTTGCTAAAAGTCAAAACAACTTTCTCTGCAATCGCTGAATTAGAGTCAGTCCGGTGACAGTTTTCGGTTGGCAACGGTTGTTATGAATCCAGGACTGCTTTAAGTTAGGCACAATTGGTTTTCCTATTTTATTTTTAATAGAAACTAGTAAAGTAGGGTAATTTTGTGAGTTGTCCCGAAATTCGTGTTCGCGAAAATTGTAGGGTGTTTGCAAGCAACGCATTGTTTCATGCAATTAAACTCATCAGCTCGTTTGTCTCGTGTAATCTGTTTGGTTGTAGAAACCTTGTGCTGCGTTAAAGATAGTGCCATTATCTGTGGACTGATATTTAACATTATCAGTTTGGCTTGTTTCAATTCCCTTTTTCAGCCAAAACCGAAACATTACTCCTCAAATCAACCTACCATCTCGTCAAGATATATTTAAAAAAGTTATGTAACATGAAGAGTTTATTTTAGTAGTGCTCACATATTCTTGATGCATAAAACGCTATAACAATCGTAAACTGTTTTTGGTCTTGCCTCACTTTGCTGTCTGTGTTTAAGATGACACACTTTCAATAAGGCAACCCAAGCGGAAGAAGCACCATAATTTGTTTAGTAATAATTTCCCCTGCGGCTCACCGATGTGTCCGGTGACCAGCTGTTTTCATTCCGGTTCTGTCTTGAACGTGACATGTACATATAGACTGGGCCGTGTTCTACTATTTGTGGTCCGTTGAGGTTATCGGAACGCAGGTATGTGACATCATTTGTCGCTGTGGATAGTCTTGCTGAGTCAGTGGGTTGTGTTCCTCGATGTGATGGGTGTTGATGAAGATCATTTCGTGCATCTGAGTTGAGTGGGCCATTCGCATTTGTTCGGTAGTAAACTCTTGGTGAGCACATTGGTTCGGTTTGTGGCAGCGATTCATTAATTACGTACTGAACAGAACGCGGTCGAGAATTTCTACTAGCTGGTCTGTTTTCGATGTAATATTCCGAACTCGAGGATGAAGAAACAGATAACATTCTTATTGGCCCGACTCCTTGTAGCAAACGCTTCGGATCATTGTGCGCCGCGCTTATCATATTCCGTATGTCCTGAACGTCTGCAGCATTTTCACAACGGAAGCTCTCATAACTGCGGTTTCCTCGCTTCTCTTCCACCACAAACAGCATAAATTTGTCCGGATTGTTTGGAAACCGGTGGAAATTATGGATTTCTCTGTAAGACAAATATTCGTGGTATTTCTTCTTCGTAAATCGAATCCGGTCGACTAGAAAAATTGCCGGAGCCGCTCTATGACGTCTGCGTAAATGCTTCTCCAACAGAGCGTTGGCCGTGCTTTCGTTAAATGGTTCTGCTCCACGAAGTTTCGTTCTTCCGAGTTGTGCCACAAGTACTTCTTTATTTGCCACTTGGCGCGATTTTCGATCAACGGGATAATTGATTGTATTATTGTGCTCCAGATTGATTCTGCGACTCGCCATATCACAAGCTCACCTGTCAACTGCCCCATTATAGTTCATACTGACACATTCCTATCCGATATCGATCTTACCAGTGTACTCTCTCGGGGATGGCAAGTAGATAGGCAAAGTTATTTGGCAACGAGGGTATGATGGTGTGCGCTTTAACAGTAACCATGAAAGCGAGCTAATTAAGTGTGAAGTCTCGTCACCTTCGATTGGTGGCTGGTAACGGTCTCCAGCGAATACCAATGGATTAATCTGGAGAAATATGAGTTAGTTAAGCAAAACGAAGCACAGAATGCAACTTCAATTTTGATCACACACCAATTTGCTGAACTTTGGATTTCTAATCTAGCAAGTTTTGCAATGTGTGTCGTAAAACGTCGATTAAGTTTGCGCATTCCATTGAAACATTTCTTTGTCAAAATTGCCATCCTCATGTTAGTAGTAAAATAGGTTTCCGCTCGTGGGAAGCAAGCAGCTAGTTTAACTGGCAAATATATCTAAGTACCTGTGGAATAAAACGAAGCAACATCAATTTAACGGTAGGAAAGTCAATATATATATATATATGTATATATATCTAATTTAGCTTCACTATTACTGCTTTGCTGATGTTAACTGGATACCATTTAAACAGTGTGATTTCCAAAACAAGGTGAGTTTCAAGTACACGCGCATATTTTTCTCATTAGAAATCCTAATTTGGGGCTCAGAAGTTAAACTAAAATGTTGACAGTGGGTTTTGTTGGAAAATGCGTGAAATATATAATCTAACGACGAGAAGGTAAACGAAATAAGTCAAAAACGTCTACAATGGTTGCAAACCTATGCTGAAATGCATGCCTTCTAGTACACATATTTTAACCGATTTCATGTCTAATTTCATATCTAATTTCGTACAGTTTACTAAACACCTGGACTGAGTTGCTTGCTTACTACTTTTACTATCACTGGTACTTTAATCTTTGAAAAAATGCATAACTTTTACTGAGACATATGCTTTGCTATTAATAATATAATAATATAATAATAATATAATAAGATGCACGTCCCAACGATGTGGAAGCACGGGATCATCACTCCAATCCACAAAAATGGTAGCCGTGCAGATCCAACTAATTATCGTCCGATTACCCTTCTTCCGGTAATCTCCAAGATCATGGAGTCCATTGTAGCCGAGGCCCTCATGGAGTACCTGGAGAAAAACAACATCATCGTTCCGGAGCAGCACGGATTTCGCCAAGGCAGGTCCTGTACAACTAATTTGCTGATTGCTCGTTCAAACTGGACAGAGTCTGTGGACGTCGAAGTCGGAGTGGATGTAGCCTACTTGGACTTCTCTAAGGCATTCGACCGACTGGACCATCGGATTTTACTGAACAAGCTGCAGCATTGTGGTATCGGCAATCCTATTCTAGGATGGATAGGCGAATTTCTCGTTCAACGTCACCTGAATGTGAGAGTCCGAAATACCCTGTCGAACCAATCGAAGTTCAGTGTGGCGTACCTCAGGGCTCGGTACTCGGGCCTCGCTTGTTTATTGTTTTCATAAATGATCTTGCAGCTGCACTATCTTCCAACTTTCTGCTGTTTGCAGATGACCTAAAGATATGGCGTGCCATAGCTTCAGGAGAGGATCACACAGCCTTGCAGGATGATTTGGACAAAGCATACAAGTGGTCAAACGAGAACATGCTACAGTTCAACACCACAAAGTGCAAAATCTTGAGCATAAGCCATCAGAGTGCGTATAACTACCGCTTAGGACCTGACATTCTACAGCGGACCTCTCATGAGTGCGATCTTGGCGTGCTTGTACAAGAAGATCTTAGGTGCTTAATGCAGACCGAAAAGGCCTCCAAGAGAGCAAACCAACACTTTGGCCTTCTGCGTAGAGCGTTTGGGAAGTTTGACGCTTCAATCTTTCCCAAAATGCTTAGCGGTTTTGTTAGACCGCACACAGAATACGCTATTCAAGCGTGGCAACCATGGCAGAAGTGCCACCTCACTGCACTCGATACTGCACAACGCAGAGCGACAAAATACGTCAAAGGTCTTTCCAGCCCTCCCTACCCACTCAGGCTGAAAACTCTTAACTTATACAGTGGACGTTACCGTCGTTTGAGAGGCGATCTCCTATTGGTGTACCGGATACTGAGAACCCCCAACCACACGTGTCATTCCCTTTTGAAACGTAGTCAAAACGCATCTCTAAGAGGACATCAGTTTATGTTGATCACACAGTACAGTCGACTGGAATGTCGACGCAATTTCTTCTCCCTCCGAGTGTCACAACCTTGGAACGCCCTTCCAGAACATGTAATTAACGCTCCCACCCTATCCCTTTTCAAAAAGCGCCTTGACGAAACTCTGACACGATTGCACTATGTGATATAACGTGCGACCATCGGATGATGGTATTAGTGAACAACGAACGTGGACGGAATCCACTTAAAATTCCTATTGGATTACTTGTTTATGTGCATCTCCAATCCCTTGGTGAGTCATGCATTTCACACGTACTTTCATCGATACGATTTTTTAATTTTACGATGTTAATTCTCATCATCCTACGGGACCTGTCAAGCATTGCTTTTATACCCGTCATAAACCATTGTTCCATTGTTCCATTGTACTTTACGCGAAATGGAACGTAGCGTATCAGGAACCGTTGTTAAGCTATGATACTTCATGGACTTTCATTTCCGCGCACATGCTAACGTTTCCTTCCTCGATGGGATAACACAAAAAGTACGCTTAAAGCAAACAACGGTTGGTTAGAAGAACTGTTTACTATGCTTAGCAAATTTGTTGCAAACTTTCGTCATCAATTGAGGTTACATCAACAATGTGTTAGGGTTTAGCGGTGGGCTGTGCCAAAGTAGGTGTGATTGGAGTAGTCGCTCTCGTTTGTGCTTCTCTGGTCATCAGCATTGGTCTTTTGGGCAGGTGACCTTTGCCGTTTATACATCATCAGGCGTATTAAAGAAATATACCCGCTTTCAAATGCCATGCGGATATTGCTGCCGTGGATTGGAAGTAGTAACATCGGACGTCAGACACTGTCCTCTGCAATGACAGGAAGCTGCATGACAGCGGAAGATAACTTGCGCTAAATCTCAGTTAGTTTGGATGTTCAGTCGGTCTGCCTCGGTCGTCCATGACTCAATGGGTCGAACCGATAAAACACTTTAGGTTAAATTACGTTTATACATAATTACGGAGGGCAACCTTGATAAAGCAAAGTAAAAAGTATGGATGTTGCCTGTAGAGTGACAAAGCGATTGGGAGCAATTGGCATTATGAACAATGAACAAGGAATTTATAGGGGTTAAGAAGCATTGCTTTACAAGTCCCGTTGGATAGTTGGTGGGGATGTCAACATAACAAAAATGATGATAAAGATAGTAAAATAGTTAAAAATTTTAATATTAAAATGAGGACTTATCGTTTGCTCCGCTTTAGTCCTGCGATCGTCTTAGATTCACAGCACCCACAGTTAACAGCAAATAATTCTAATTCCCTGTGTCATATGTATCCTCAAACTCGAATGCCTGTCACGGTCAAAGCAATGCTTAAACTCGAATTCTTTTGGAAGCATGGATTCAGTTTTGCAATCCTTCCGCCTACCAATCCAGGGGTAGTTACCAGCTAATCCTGTGATAGCCTGGCAAACACTGAGGTTAAGTTTAAGGTTTATGATTGTTTGTTAGCCCTAGTATCCTCTAATGATTTTTATCTTCTTTGCTTAAATTTCAGTAGTAACACTTATGTTGAATAAACCTAAATCAGTCAACCGCTTTCGGTTTGCCTTATATGTTATTTTTAGAGCATATTATAAATACAGTGATTTTTCCATTTGCTAGTGGTGCCCTGAATGTCTGTATAAGGTGGAAAATCGTTACTCGCCATCCTTACGGTTAGAATGCATTCTGAGAAACAATATATCAAGAATAGCTATTGTTGAATGTGGCCCTACAGAAACAATAAAGACACAGATATCTTGGAACTATTAATTTAATATACTTGAACTTGTTCAAACCGTATATTTTAGTAACTTATTGCTTGTTTATTTGTTCGGCGTTGGTATAAAGTGTAGGCTGTAAAATTTAATTCTAGACAGCGGATATGAAATTCTATCGCGCTTCTCCGTGAATGGTTCACCTAAGTAATTCTTTAGCCTGGCAAGAAAATGGACTGTAGCAGCTCAGGACACTTGGAAAAGGAAAAAAGCACCATCAGTTTCGGTAGATTCTTATTAACACTGTTGTAAGGATGGCATATTGATCTGATTAGTTGAGGGAATTCTGCAATACCTTGCAATCCAGATTGTCCACTAAACAGTTAGGTTAAACATTTTACAGTCCCCTATCTACTTAACTAGTGAATGGTATGAACTGCTAGATAAATCCGCACGCAACTAGTAATTATGGGCCCGGACCTCAATGAAGACAGGGTGTCCCCTAAAAATGAAACGGCTTTTTCAGCTGTTTAGATGATTTGGAGGTTACAGAGAGCAACCCCATATTTGCTTTAATCTATTAATTATACTCAAACTGATGATTATTATTATATCATTTTACTGACAATGATAGCCGCTTGGAACCCTTCTTATCCGGTTAATGGCTCTTATTTTTTAAGCTATACATTATACTGTAAGGTGTGATAATGTAATATTTCATCCATTAATAACTGGATTTTGTAGTAGAAGGAAGCAGTGCTTACTTAAGCCACATAAGATGGCGTTCCATCTTTGACATTGTTGTCGACCACGCGATAGTGAAGAATTTTCTACTTTTAGGGGGTTGAAATTTTCCCCGTGTCACTACACTGCCCTACCATTTGGTGCACACCCTAGCAAACATAAACATGTCAATGTCGTAGTGCTACAACACAACTAAGGATCAAGTACCTACTTTAACTCTTTTAAACACCGGCAACTAAATTTTGTGTTAACCTTTTGAGGTAACATTAAACCCGGACATAAAGTTTATCCACTGCGTCTGCATATGAAA